TCAAGCATCGATCGTCATCTTTGTATCAATTGATTGTAAGGTTCAACCTTTCGAAAATCATAGTAGGGATTTTTGGGAACTTATCTCAATTAATAATTTATAACCATCAGGAAAGTAAATTAACTGCTAATACTTACGATGCAAAAAGTAGCGCTAGAATAAAATCATGATACCTTTTTTTAGCCAATGAGAATTTATTAAACTGATTAGTCTAATTGATTTTAACGTTAATAATTTTATTGTATGTTAAATCGATTAACTGACCTCTGCAGATCATTATGTCATGTAAAATCACGGGAAATCAGGCAATTTTTCCAATTTTAATACACCTTTTTGCAAACCCGATTTGGAAATCAATCCATGAAAAAAATTAGCATATTCAAAACCGTTTCTATCTGAATAAAGTCAAAATGCACGAGCTTTAGGATGTTTATAGTAGTTTAATAGCCCCAGTGAAAGATGCATTGATCAGATCTCTTCTAATAATCGATAAGATGTGTAATAATGTAAAAAATTAACGTTCTTTAAAAAAAAAAAACAGATAACAAAATTTTGTCTATAAAATCACCTTCTGCGCACTAACAAAAGAAATACCTTGCGAAATTTGAACATAAAATAAGTCCTTAATTCGGTCATAACACGAACCATAACGTAAAGTTTTATTACTTTTTAAAAATATTGAGCATATTCGTTGGTTTTTGATTAGTGTAGATCTGTTTCCAAATATGGATTTTTTGGAGATGTCTGATATAACAGATAAATTCAATACACTCACGTTCACTGTACCTGGTAAACATCTTTCTCACACGCACGTACGAACTGAAATTCCAAAACATCATCTCTCAAAGAAATCAAAGAAATCATTTCAAAAAAAAATGGCTACACTTTCTACACTTTCACTTTTTGAGCTTCCTCCCTCAAAAAAACCATTTCAAAAAATGACTACACTTTCTACACTTCCTCTTGAAATATACTATATGATATTCAAAAACGGCGAGTATAAAGATTTACATAAGTGGATGCTCGTAAATCGTCAAATGTGCAGAATTATTGTACCTTTATTGTGGAACTCACCAGGACGAAATTTCCTTAAAAAAAGTCTTATGACAGTACTTTTTTCAACACTAAATGCAGCTGAACAAACTTCAATGATTCCTTTTAAGATTACGCTACCTAACGTAAAACCAATTTTTGAATATACAAGTTACATCATTTCAGTTGACAAAGATTTTTATGAGGGAGTTAGATCTTTTTTTTCTTTTAAAGATAATAAAGATGGTAAAGATATAGAAAATGCCGCTATACATGCTTTAATTTCAATGTTTTTAAGAACTGGCAAAAGCCTTAGGCATTTATATTTTCAAGAAGCGTTTCACAAACAATTAATATGGTTTGCTGAAAGTGCAGTTTGCTCAGTAGATTTATGTCTCCCTTACGATACAAATGATGATGCCAAGACTGAAGCATTAGAAAACTTAACAAGTAACCTCAATAAAAAAACAACAATAACTTCTTTGAGTCTCATATCTATTCGAGTTGGACGTAAAGGAACGACTACGGTATTGAAGTCACTTTATAAAAACCCCGTCATCCAAACTCTGGGCTTCTATAATTATCAAATTGGAAATCAAGGAGGAGTGGTATTATCAAAGTTTATTAGCAGAAATAACTCGTTAACTTCGTTAACTCTCAGTGGAAGACCGCTTACCAATAAAATTGGATTAAAAATAGGAACTCAATTAGCAAATTCACTTTATAGAAATAATACATTGAGATACTTAAAACTTAGACATTATAATTTAGGACCTGATGCAGGACGATCATTTGCAAGTTCACTTCTCATTAATAGGCGATTAACCTCACTGGATCTTTGTTGTAATAAGATTGAAACTGAAGGCGGAAAAGCATTATTAATTGCACTTTGCAATAATCCTACATTGACTTATTTGGATATTAGCGAGAACTATATTGGATCAGATGCAAGAGAAGCATTAGCCGATTTATTTATCAAGAATGATACTTTAGTCACATTATATATTAGAGATAATAAATTGGGATTAAAGAAATGGGGGACAGAATTAGCCGATGCACTTCACCAGAATACTTCGCTAAAACAGTTGAATCTACAACGTAATAATATTCGACCAGAAGAAGTGAGTGCGTTAAAACAAGTAACTACTTTGAGTTTATTGGAAATTTAAATCGGATCAGAAGGGGGAGAAAACGTTAAAAAGAAGCATTTTGCAAGAATAACTGAATTTTTCCTTGAAACTTTAAATTTCAATTTTTTTCAATTTTTCAATTCAATAATAATAGATTTAGAATGAAATCGAACAAAGTATAGGGAATATTACAATAAGCATAGCAAAGCATATATATAGATAATTACGATAAGTATAGAAGTATAGCAAATATATCAAATAACCCATCATGCTATTGTAATGCAATAAATCGTTAATAAAATGTAGGAGCAAATGCGTAACAAAAAAAAAAAAAAAAAGATATATGTTAAATGTCGTTCATTGATTTCGGAATTATTTTTGAATTTACTAATGGCTTATGTCTCTTCGATGCTATAAATTACTGTTTATCGATATCGATAAAGCAGCTTTAATGAATTACGCATCTTTAAGTATCGTTTTTTTTATTTAAGTAAATATAAATCTTTAATTAAAACTATTTATTTAAGTTAATCATTTATTACTGTATTAAAATACATAAATTTATTTATTTATATATGAGTGACGGAAAGTAATTCTAAAAATAGATATGAATTTTATAATAATTTATTTTTAGAATTACAGGTTCTTTCTTCCCGTTACTAATTACTGATTATTTGGCTTTTGAGAACATTTGTTTGCTGGTACGCTTGTGGCCTGTGCATTCAAATAGTTCCATGCAACCTACACAGGCTCAGCATAACTTTACAGTTTATTGTACGGGTCTTATGTGACAACCCGTGCTTTTTTCATTTACTTATTGGCACGGGATTGTTACGTCAGACACCGTACAATAAGATAGTTATTGTATGGTATGTTGAATAACCCAGTTACACACACGGGTTCATATTTAATCCCGTGCCTTCGGCACGGAATATGAACCCGTGTGTAACTGGGTTATTCATTACATACCCATACAATAACTATAATAAGTCCAATACGGTCCAGTCCAGACACTGGACATAGTAGTGTGACAACACTGATTGTAAGTTCTCTTAGCGTAATGTCAGAAGGATGTAATATACCAGTACTCATAATAGCGTAACATGCTCAGAAAGGATATGACTTTGCATAGTGGTGTATTTTATGAAGGTTATGGGTCCTAAAGTAGACGTATGTTAAACTCATGTGGTCTTTAAGCTATGTAATGTTATTAAGGCATATTTAAGCTAGATTTTCTTCGTCTGATTTTTTAAAAAGTAAATACTATGGGGTGAAGTTGGGGATTTTAGACCATTAACGGTATTCAGAGATATACATGTTCACAGAATTTATTTAGAGCAAATACTGTGTTGTAACGTGGCCGAAGCCTATAAAGTTGGCAAAGTGATATTTAGACTTTAGAATTTTTAGACTGGCAATTTTAGGATTGCTCTCAAAAATATAGTCGATTTGTCCGAAAATCATGACTAAATCACACAACATTTAACCAACTTTAGAAGGCTACATCATAAGTATAACATCTTAGTGTAGAGAGAAATGAAATTATTGGTTTGTAATTGAAAATCGATTATAATAATTGATTCTATTTTAAAAGCTAAATCGATTGTTAAATAATTTATTCTAAAATAAATGTGACAGATTAAATGAAAAGGGAGCCTTTTTTTTGCATTATATGTATTATACAAAGTAGTGGTTTGAGCACGCGATTTTAGTTATCTGGCTGAGCTGGCCATTAAAAGTCATGGCTGACAGTAATTCCGTTGACTTGTAGTGAGAATAAAAATCATCTGTTTAATTCAAGTTAATGAACGTTTAATATTTAATTTCAGTATTTAAAATAAGTTGATGAGTATTTATTGCAGTTAGTGAATAGAAAGAGAATTTATTAATCTAAGTTGCAAATGTGAGGAATGAACATTAGTATAAGTATTGTAAAAAAAAAAAAAAAAAGTATTGTTATCCTTGGGACCTGCCTTCGCCTTTGAGCTCATATTACTAGTAATTTAGTAATCGATCTAATATGATGAATTATTATCTTAATTATAATCAGTTGGCATCTTCCTGATTTCGTAGAATTTTCTTTTCATTTAATTACTAATATAGTAATAATTGCACTTTTTCATAATATTACTAATATAGTAATAATTGCACTTTTTCATAATATAACTAAACTATCATAGCAATACAGTAGCGAAAGTAAATCTAGATACATTTGAACACATATCCATAATTGATGCATGATTTCCTTTCTTGTATCTTTTGCGCTCTTCACTTTGTTTACTTTGGGCTGATTCGTGTACAGTAAATAAAATTATCTGTTTGGTTGACCGGTAAACATCTGACTACGCTTGGCTTTACTTTATGAAGTAATAATTTCGAATATGTATAGTACAACTGAAATTGCTACTTCGGGCATGACAGTATACATGTAACGTTATAATTTTTTAGTTGATATTATCTTCCTTTTATTTTGATCAGGATTTTCAATTTATCTGTCAATTACAGGCTTTTTCACTTATCGTTATTTATTGTTACTGATGATGCTGAAATCGGATGATGCTAAAATCGGATGATATTGAAATTAAAACCTATTTAATGTACGATTTTTAAAATTTTTGAGGTACGTCTTTTTTAAGTATTTTTTTTTTTTTTAGATTTGGACTAGGATCTAGGGTTAGGTTATAATAAAAGAATTTAGGTGGATTTTAGTAGTGCTTATATTCTAAATTAAGGCTCGGATTTTCAGCATCATCCGCGACGACATTTATATTATTATACTGATTCAGACTTAAATACGTGTTACATAACGATCATCCAGGAAGATACCTCATACTAAAGATGATTCCACGTCAACCAAGAACTATATCATTTTACGATGAATATATTCAAATATTACAAAGAGTGCCAACAAAAATTATTCCATGGACACTAATTATTAATAACATACTTGTAACCGTAATTTTAATAACCTTTACGTTTTATGGTATGTATGTTATCTCTTATAAATTATTTAATTTGATTTAATTTTTAATTATAATATGTAGATTCTCAAGCTGACGATATATTGCGCCACCAAAATGTAAACAATACAAATTTGCATGAAAAATATGGATATAACTCGTAAGAATTTTTCTTGTACTTCTAACAAAATTTATTAATTCAAATATTAATAAAGTGTATTAAATATTTTATAGTAAACTGGCAACTTTTGGTTCAATATCTTACTTGGCTTGTTTTTATATTTGTATGTTAATATACTTGGCAGCTTTTATAGGCTTGAAATTTAGCTTAAAAAATGGTCTTCTATTTAATATGTAATTACATTTATTTTTTGCATAAATTTAAGGTATTATTTATAATAAACTAACATGCAGTATCTTTGTTATAGATTGGGGGCTATCTTCAGTATAACACTTGCTTATCCATATTTAAAGGACCAAATTGTTGGGCCTGGATATCAAATAATTCAATGTGACTATATTGACTCTTCAGGTCCATGGCAGGATCACTGGTGTGTTTTCCACAAGCGTCGTATTATATTATCATGGCTACTTATATTCGTGTGGTTGATAGTATATCCTATTTATTTATTTACCTTATTATCGATTGTGTTAATAGTTTTGTGTAAGAGAGCTTATAGAATTTCAAAGTTATGGCTTGTTTATCAATATCAATATAGAAAGGGATTATGGTTAAAAAAACAAAAAGAAAAATCAAACCAACAAAATGAATTAGCAACTGATAATAAAAACGATAAAAGTGATATAGTCGATAATAAAATCAGTACAGTTGAAGTAGTTACAATTGAATAATACATCAATAAGTTTAAATAGCTCATATTTTTATTGCTTTGCAATATGGAAACAACTTAATTAGTATTTTATTCATCGCTATTAACAATGTGAATTCTTTATAAAATACATTTTAGATTGTTGGAGAGAAAATTAATCGTGGCGGATAAGGCTAACTAACATTACTTTGAACTCAATGTTTAAAATTTATATGCAGTATCTGCGGTGCGCAGATTGAAAATTCAAAATTTTCCTGGAATCTGCGGATTTAATTATGTGTCATATCTGCTACGCACACTTTTATTGAATTTTTTTTATTATGCTTACAAAACTTACCAAGCTTTTCCGCATATTGAAATAAAATTGATTTTTAAACATTGGCATCGCTTCTTTTAATTAGAATTTTTTTCGACATGCATTATATTTCAAAAGAAACATATAAAATCAAATAGGTACCATAAAAAATAAAATAGAGGTTTATGGTTTGCTATTACTAGACATAAGCATATTATTTATATAGCTAAATCATCTATTATTTTACCACTTTGCTTTGTATTATATCTGATTTCCATCATTTATTAAAAAAATAGAATAAAAGACTATAAAAAAATACAATAACAAAGATAATACTTATAATAAATAGTTATACGACCTACATTTCTATTAAAAAGAAAAATAATTATTAATATTACTTATTTTTTCTTTATATTTATTTTAATTTTAAGTAAAATACCTTTACTATGAAGAGATTGGATAATTTACTCAATTTATAACGGCTTTATAATTATAAAAATCTTTAATTAAAAAGGTTTTAAAGCTATAATGATTTTTTTTAAATTATCAACAATTAATACTTACTAAATATAAATTATACACTATGTGTATCAAATCCGTGTAGCATGCCAATCAAAATTTTTACAATCGAAAAATTAACCCTTGCTTATATTTAGGATAAGGGTGAGGTTTGGGATTGGGGCGAGGGTTAGTTTTACCAAAATTTCACAGATTTTTTTTACAACAATTCTTCAAAAATCTGCAAAAATACAGATTTTTGCAAATTTGCACTTATTTAATTTCCCGATGATATTATTTATCAGAATTTAAGAATTTGCTTAATTATTTCCAGCAGGAGAGTTCCAATATTGAGTATCTTAATTATCACTACGAATTACATTCGATTCGAATATTTAAAATGTATTTTAAATACACGTATAAAAGTTATTGGAAGCTTCTTTGCTCGTTCGAAATCTTTAATGTCATCTACCATTTTTTGAATAGGTTTAAAGTTCGATTCAATG